GGTATTTTGTCCCAGCAACGAGAGAAAAGTAACCAAGACAAATCTATATTACATTAAAGAAAAAGTCAAATTTGAAAGTAACTTAGTACTTTACTAGGAAAAATACTGGTGATTTTCCCTGGCAGATGGATTTGTAATTTGATGAATGTGACCAGAGATGTATTTTATATAATTTTGATTTTGGAAAATCATTCCAAATAGCTGTATGCCTACTGTATATGTTAAAGTTTGAGTTTTGGGGGATAACTTTAAGAAATATATACTTTACAGTTATTGGGTGCCATCGTATCTCAATTAATTCAATTAAGTCAAGATGGTTGAAAGTTTTGTTCATATATAAATTTGTTTACTGATGCTGCTGCAGAATCCAAAAGATTTGAGCTATGAACGTGGAAAAAGGAGGATATTTTTCCAGGACTTTGGATGCATATCAACCCAGCCAAACTCATGTCCAAAGTGCTGGGCATTAGAACAAAGGAAAAGTTTTAGTTTTATGTACTTGGCTGAGGGAGTTGGTTTTTAGAAACTAGGAGAGGGTGGAGCAAGCAAGGATACAGAGGAAGACTAGCCTTGAAAGAAGACAGAGCCTTACAATTCCTGCGAGAACAGGATGACATAAACTCTGTTTACAGGACCTCATTGCCAATCTTATCTGTACCAGAACAAGTTATAGCTACTAAGGAGAAGCAGGATAGTTTGAAAGGGAGTGCTCTTCAAGTCCTGCCTTATTACTTTACATTGAACTATAGAGGATTTTTTTTCTTCCTTCATTCTCTCTCTCTCTCTCTCTCTCTCTCTCTCTCTCTCTCTCTCTCTCTCTCTCTCAGGATTTCACACAACCAGCAAAAACTCCTCAAAAGTTCTGAAAAGCTACTCAACTGGTGGTTAAAAGAAGACATTACTTTGGATTCTCTGTAGGTTTGTACCCATCATACAAACCTGTGGGACACTGAAAATCTTGCTGGTGAGCAGGATGTATGGCTCAGCAGTAGACCACTTGCCTAACATTCACCAAGCCCAGGGTTCAAGCGTCAAAAAGAATCCCAAACAAAAATGAAAACTAAAACAGAAACGGTTGCTGCTGTTTCCTTACTTGGTCTCCATCTCTTTTCTGCGGCAGCCCCTCTTTTTCACTCGTGCAGAAATTGAGCAGATGCCCCAGAGAATCTGAGTGGGCACTCCTGCTTTCTCAGGCAGAACTTGTCCATTTCTAGCATTTGGAAAGTTTAGACTTTGTAGCTCTACCTCATTTAAGTCTTTAAAAGTGAAATCTTCCACCCAGTTTATTCATTTGGTTTAGATTATGTATTGATTCTTGATCCTGTAGTGACAGAGATGGTCCTTGTAACTTTCCATGTCTCAATTGGCACTACAGTTTGTGACTTTTGTGCTGATCCATGTTGATAATCTTAGTTTATTGATTTAAAGCTCTATATATTATACCCTGGAAATATTGTTGTAATTTATCTGCCCTCTGTCTAATAATTTATGATGTTACTTTCCCCTTATATCCTACCTTTTCCTGCCATCTTGCTCACATATGTGAATTTATCTAGAGTGTAAACTTGTAGAGTGGGAGTACCGTATTATCCAAAGGGCCCATGTGCCTATTTGTGCTTGGGTTGCACACACAGTGCTAAAAAATCATCTTGCAGTGTATGACATTTTGCTCCTTTTGCTTCTTCTACAGGGTTATATTACAATATTGTACAGTGCTATGGCATTATATGACTTTAGCACACTATTTAAAAGCTGATGGGCATTTAGACTGCTTCAAGTTCTTGACTACTATGGCTAATTTTGCTCTGAACCATAGCACATCTATTGTGTGTGTGTGTGTGTGTGTGTGTTCTTAGTGCATATTTATTATACAGAACATTAATTTTCAATGTGGCATTCACATACATGCGTGCAGCATACTGTGATCATATCCATCTCCCCATTAATCTTCACACCCTCCTTTCTCCTTTCTTCTAATCCTCTTCCTATGGTGCATTCGTCTCCTTCTACTTTCATGTCATCTTTGTCTTTTTCTGAGATTCCACATGTTAGGGAAAACATAGAATACTTGTTACTCTACGTCTGGGTTATTTTACTTAATATGATGATTTCCCTGCAAATATGATTCTTGTCCTCCTCTCTGACTGAATAATACTCCCGTTGTGTATAAGTAACACATTTTCTTTATCAGTTCATCCATAGGTGGGCACCTAGGCTGATTCTATAACTTGATTAGTGTGAACTGTATCTACTGTTTTTACGAGGATGTCTTGTTTTTTTCTTTGTTTTGTTTTATCCTTTACCTCCTTTAGATATATTCCAACATTTGAAATTGGCAGGTATAATGGGAAATGTTCAATTTTTTGCTAAGAAATTGGTGTTTTCCAAAGTATATGTAAGGTTATGCATTCTTACCAGAATTCATACCACAGTTAAAATGAGTTTCTATCCTCAAACATATTCATAAAAGTGGTCATAGTAATAGGGATAATTTTTTAAGGTCACACTTTCTTATATTGTTTCCATTTCATTCATCAAAGAGAGAGATTTGTTTAATGGAACGACTTTGGAATACATTCTACTAACAATTTGAAACTGTCTTAAATAATTCTCAATTGTTTAGAGTTCTAATTCTAGTCACAGTTATACTAGTGATTTTAATCAACAATCAATGAATACTAAAATGTACTTATTAAAATAGATATGCTATATGCTATAGCATGTTGTAAAGTTAGACTTTCATTGTCACGTATGAAAAAAATCTTTGGAAAATATACTTTTACTATAAAGTTAAATATCAGTATATTTACTTCTACACACAAGCAAAATTTTGGCACTGTTTTTGTTTTACTACAGTTGAGCTAATATCTGGCACTTAATGCACTCCTATCTTTCTAAAAAGACACAAAACCACTCAAAATTCTTATTAAGGATCTAGTGGCCTGTGGGAGGAAATTAACTAAAAATACTAATGAAATAATGGTATCAGAAACTGTCATTTCCTTATCCCTGACTCATTCTCTTTTAATCATTACTTTCTCTCAGAAAAAACATGACATCGTTCCTTCTTTTCCCATGAAATCAGGCCCAGTTCCCAATGTCTGGAGGATGGTTTGTCAGAACTGGCAGGGAGGACATGTTCCCCCATATGGTCCTGGATCCTAGGACAGCCTCTCCCTGTGGGAGAATGAGAGCCAGGCAGGAAGCCTGTCATGAGTAGAGAAGCAGAGACACAGGTCCTTCCTTCAGAGCTTCACCATCTCTTTAGCTCAGGTGTCCTGCAGGGACAGAAGACAACAGTGTTTCCAGATCTCTCTCTGAATGCTTCTTCTCTCCTCTCTCAGGATAGTGCTGCAGTGAGAAAAGAAAAAAAAAAAACAAAACTTTTAAACTCCCTGAGGCAGTGCTACTTCAGGGCACAGGATTTTTTTTTTTTAAGTGGAGCAAAGAAGGTTTAGTGCAGCTACCTGATCAGAACTTTTCATCCAGAAATCTTTCTCACTATCTGTTTCATGTCTCATCCCCTTTATGGTCCCTCATAGGGAAAGCAAATCTGTCTGTGAGAGAAGATTTGAGAACATTACCTGTTTGTTGAACTCCAGAGTGTCCTGGAAAAGAGAGGGGTAAGAGAGACTTAAGGGACATGGTATTATGAAAAAGGAAGAAAATGTTCAATTGGGATGGGGAACTAGGAAAGGGGGAGGGGACAGGAAGAAAGGGAAAAGAAAACAGGGAAAAATGGAAACAAAGCTTAGTAAATGAGGAGAGGAAGGGGGATTGAAGAGAAAATAAGACAATGGGGAAAGAGAAGCACTGAGGTAAGTTATGTACAGGTACAAAGTCCCTATGATGAAAGTGATCAATATGTATACTTAAGGTGTGCCAATAAACTTAATTAATAAAATAAAGAAAACAGTACAAAGGGCTGAGAGCTCTGTCAGGGATAAGAGTTGAAAACTTGAGCAGCATTGCCACATATTTAATTTCATGTCATAAAATAAATCTTAGACTCCAAAGCAAAAAAAACAAAAATGAAATAACAGCAACAACAACAACAACAACAACAAAAAAAACCGTGAAGGCAAACCTGTCCTTAAAAACAGTACCCCCATTATCAGATCTGCCACCTGAGATTTCTTTGACACCATAGCTCCTGCCAGCCAGGGCAGAGAAAGGAGCACAAAGTGACTGAGGAAGCTTCTACCCCATAAGTCCCTTGCCCAGTGCTCGTCCTTCTTTCCCCACTGCTCTCCAGCCAGCAGTCCTGGACTGCTCAGCCTGTCCCTGCTTTCTGCAGGTCACGGCCCCTGGGTTTCAACTAAGGACCTATAAGAATTGATTTCTGAACGCTCAGCAAATTTGAGGTAACCTGAGGGAGGAAAGGCTTCATACAAGGACACCAAAATACCAAGGAATGCCACAGGAAAACAGTCCATTGTCCTTCAGAAAAGCATATGGAGAGTCTTAGCCATCAGTAGGCATCTTACCTTTCTGGTTCCTGGAGTAGATGAACAGCCCCGACCCAAGGAAGAGCAGACCCAACACAAAGCCCCCAACTCCACTCAGCATCTTGCTCTGCGCAGATCCAGACTATGTGCCTGAGGGAAGATGCCAGGTTTAGGGATTTTTTTTTAACCCCAAATCCAGGTTCTCTCTCTGAGACCCTAAGATTCAGAATTTTAAGGATGGAGGAAAGATTCCTGCACTGAAAAGCTAGAGTTAACCATTCTTGGGAAGGAAGATCTAAAAATCACATTGAGTGGGTGTGGCACTCCTGCACTGAATTCATTGGAAGCTCACAGCCCCACAATCTCCCTGGATGTGTGCAGTGTCTGGAGCTCAGTGAGGCTGAGTAGTGGTCTAGGATGCCAGAGCTCATGAAAGGCAGAGTTGAGGATAGACTCCTCTCCTGTCACGAGGACCCTGCATTGCTCCTTTTCCTAGGCCACAATGACCAGCACAGAGCAGGAACCTCGAAAGCACAGACCCAACCTAGAGGCAGGGTCTGGAGATAGGGCCAGTGGGCGAATATGAGCAGTGATAGCATGAGAAGGTTCAAAACAGGGACACTTCTCTTCCCCATGACAGGCAGTTCCCTGTCAAAGGTGCGTAAGTGTTTGTAGAAACTCTCCCAGTTCTGCCTCCATCAATTGTCCTGAAGATGAGAAGATGGAGCAAATGCAAATACTGTACTGCAAGGAGAAAATTCACACTCAGGGAATTGTGGGCTGGAGGGGAACTTATGAGGTGAGGGGTTTCCCACTCACTCCACTCCACCGTGACAGGGCTGCTCCAGCTCGGGTGCTCAACCTGGCAGGCGTAAACCTCTTCGCTCCGAGGAACAGTTTCCAGCATGACCAGGGTCTGGAAGGTCCAGTCTCCATTCCGGATCAGGCCTGTGGACACCACCCCAGCCTCCTCCTCCTGCCCGTTCCGGAACCATCTGACTTCCATGTGGCCTGGGTAGAAGCCACTCACAGAGCAGACCAGGAGGTTGTGGTGCTGCAGGGGCTGGGTCATTGTGGGGTACACGGTCACCTTGGGCTCAACTAGAGGAGAAAAGGCAGAGAGACCCAGTCAGGAAGGCAGAGTTCTTGGCTGTCCGCCTTTCAGCACCTCTCCAGCAACTGACTCAGGTCCTTATTGACCTCTTCACACCTGCCTGAGGCTCACAGGAGCCTCTGTCACTAGCCCACAATTTCATCCTCACAACAAGGGCACTTTAGATTTGGGGAAAACATTTTTCATGGTTTGACATGACATGATTGTTCATTAATGAATAAAGTGTTTTCAAGTCTTTGCAAAAAATGTGAGGTATTCATTATACTGTGATTTCTGGAGCCAGGCTGCCTGGGTTCAAATCCAGGCTTCCCCTCCCCATGGCTAATTCTGAAAGAGATGTTTACATTTCTTTGTGCCTCAACTTTCTCACCTGTAATGGATAAGGATAGTGATTCACCATGTAGGGTTATATTAGAATTGAAGCAACTAAAATACAGAAAGCATGGACTAGTATTTAGGTAACAGTGTATTTTCCTTGTTTATTATTCTCCTGTTTCCTATGTGAAATTCTGAGTCAGAGCAGCATGGAAAACTGGGGAGGAGCAGTGGCGTAGTGATATGGGAAAGAAAACTGAACCAGCACCATTTTGTGTTCTAGTGCCATTTTAAAGCTTAAGGTTCTGTTTCCTTAAGTTTGTTTCTTGTAAGTGTTGTTATAGTTACCTAACCTGATACCACCCCACACCCTGTCATAAGACTACTTGTCCCCTATGTAAAATGTCTAACACATTTTTTCCTTTGTCACAAGCTAAGCCCATGCTCTGTCATCTTTCTATAGCGGTACTAAATCATATCAACACCAGCGCCCCACATAGACCCAAAACTAGACATGGAACTAGAAGTGTATAACCATTCTTCCCTCCTACTCTTCAGGGTTGCTGCTCAGTCATGTACTGGGTGCCCACTGCAGGCCCCCAGTAAGCTTGCTTGTCTCTACGTCCCACCTCCATGGATGACTCAATTAAATAAACACCTTCACTGCAACAGTAGGAAGGGGATGGAGCATGGAATTCTGGGAATGCTCTCTCCACACAGTCACACTTCCAGGGCCAGGAAGGGCTGCACACAGGAAATCAGGGACAGAGAGACATCTCTAAGGCTCTGAACTGAGTTCCAGGTAGCTCAGGAGTCCTGAGCAGAGGGAAAGCAACAAGGGGATCAGTCTTTTAAAAACATCCCCTCTTTTAATCACCTGAGGAATGCCTCTCCTTTACCAGACATACCTACTTATTGTTACCAGGTTGTATTTGTCTCACTTTCTGAACTGACCTTTGTGGTCAATACAGTGTCTGGGACTTATTAATATGTGTTCATCATGGTTTGTGTCTAGATGTCCCCCCAAAGCCTAATGCAATCATGGGGCTGGCTTCTTGAGTTTTTGATTGATCCATGGTCCAATGCTAGGATTACTGGTGTGAGTGTGACACCTGCCCTGGGGCAGACAGTCTGCATACAATATAAGGGAGGGAAAGAGGCTTGCTCTCTGCTATTCCCCGCTTTTTGCTCTTGCTGTGTTTGATGTCTTCCACCACCATGAACTGTTGTGCTCTGCCATGTGCCACTCTGCCTTGGAGCCAGCTAAGCATGAACTGAAACCTCCACAAGCTGTGAGCTAAATAAACCTTTCCTTCCTTAATTCTGCACCAGGTATTTTGTCCCAGCAATGAGAGAAAAGTAACCAAAACAGTGTTCTTCATGCCTGTTACAATCCCTCCCAATACCAACCTCACTAAAGGCATTGTTCCAAAAGGTCACATTTTTACAGTACCAAAAACTGACAGATATATGGTTGCAAGTAATCATTACCAAGAATGTGGCACCATATTTTACTGAATAAAACGTTTATATTCTTAACATGAGCAATTTTAAACAGAAATGAAATATAAACCAGAAAATGGAAAACATGCTGAATAAAATAGCGAGACCTTCATAAGAACATTTCTGCATAAAGAATCCATAAAATTACTTAGAAAACAGGAGGATCTGAGAGAAGAAGAAAGAAAAATTTTAGAGTAATAGTATTTGTTAATAAGTGTGCAAAAATGTCTATAAACCTTATAATTAGAAAAGCTAAAGTTAAAAATGAAAAATGTAATGTTTCAGAGTACAGGTGGCTCTCTACATCCAAAGGTTCCCCTTGGAAATTCATCCATCTATGTAACAAAAATAATTAAAAATATGTTTTTGTACTACACATAGTCACTTTCTTCTCGTCATTTTCCCCCTAAACAATATAACAGCTATGTAGATAGCATTTACACAGTGCTAAGTGCTGTAAGTAATTTAGACATGATTTGAAATATAAAGGAGGATATACATAAGTTATACACAAATATCACACCATCTTAAATAGCACACTGGAATATTTTTTTTTCAATTTCTATATTCAAGTAAACAACTTTCCACATACACTAAGAAAGAACTTAATTTGTCAGTATTTAAAAAAGGTCTCACAAAGGGGAACACAGGTTGGGTTACAAGCAGAGAAAGAAATAATACACAGCCACCTCAATGTTTTTAGTTTATAAAAATTATAACAGCAGTATGTAAAGTAACACAACTGTGATCAGAAACCACTTCAACCATCTCTTCAACATTCTAAAGGTGTGTACACTAGGTGAGCAATGTAGCAAGCCAAAAACAAGAAATTGAGGCCTAAAAGAAGCCTTGGAAAAGGTCCCAGGTACCTTGTCCCCCTCCTCCCATAACATTAATCTGACACCTTTGCTCCCTGAAACGTTGTGCACACAGCTCACTTGTATTTCCTGGACTTCAGCATAAAGAAGGCTGCAAGCCAAGGGCGATGTGTGAGCCGCCTCCTCACATCCCAGCTGCTGACACCCCTGTCCTCCTTGCACCCTCAGCCCCACAAAGATGGCCACATTTCCTGTGCCCTGCTCTGAGTCTCAGCCTTTCCCTCCATCCCTGCTCCCTTCACCATCAGCCTAGGCACAGCCTCTCCCCTGCTCCTCCCTCCAGGGACCCCTCCCTCTCCTCTGAGCTCCTCCTGTGCCCACAACCCCTGTTTAGGTCAGCCTAGAGGGCAGGGGACACACACAGTGCCCACCGTCTCTGTCTCTCTCAAAATCACACACTATCAAAATCACACTCTTCCTCAAAGATCATAGATTCTCACATGTACCCTCATAACTTTGGTTGGCTAACAATCCCACACACTGGGGACAAGGGATCAATCTGTCTCCCTCCCCCTCTCCCTCTCCCCCTCCCCCCTCCCTCTCCCTCTCTCTGTCTCTCCCCCTCTCCCTCCCCCTGTCCCTCCCCCTGTCCCTCTCCCTGTCCCTCTCCCTGTCCCTCTGTCTGCCTCCCTCCTTCCCTCACCCTGGCTGTTCAGGCCCTACACTCACCTCTCCGCTGCACAGTGAACCTCTCACCAACCCTGTAGTTGTGTTTGCACAAGGTGTCCACCTGTGAGCGCCTCTGCTCCAGGAGGTCCTTCCTGCTGTTCCAGTCCTTGGCCTCCTGCTGTCCTAGCTCAGTCACCGCCAGGAACTTGCCCAGGTCACTGTCATAGCGCAGGAACTCTTCCTGGTTGTAGATGTGTCTGACCACCATCCGAACATACTCAGTTCCATTGGAGAAATGACATTCCCATTTGATATACTCCAAGAAACACGCTGTGGGACAGGAGTGATCTGGTCACAGGCGTCCTCTTGGAAAGACATTGCCAGCCACACACGCACCAGCACCCAGGGGTTCACCTTTCACCTCCCCTGGGCAAGAAACCCACGGGAGCTGGGACACTGCTCTCCTCTTCCCATTCCCTCCTTCCCGGGCCAGTCCCAGGTTCAGGGGCCAGACTTGATCCATCCTTCAACCCCGCCCCCACCACCTGCCACTCTAAGGCTCCGCTCAAAACACACCCTGCCCTCTGCCCCAGCCCAGAGGTTCACCCAGTCCTGCAGAGGACTCTCTCCTCCCTGCTACACAGTCTCCTTCCTGCTGAACCTGAGAGGCCCGTGCTGTCCCTGCAAACCCAAAGGCAGAAAAACACAATTGGGAGTTTACATTGGTGAAGGGAGCAGGAGCAACACAGACCAAGCAGGATTTGTGGAGGAGCGGAAGATGGCAGAAGTGTGGAACTATTTTCACAGAGAAGAGCAGGAAGATCTAAATGACAGCAGGGTGCCAGGGAGGGCCTCTGAGGAATGACTGTGGAATGGGCCAGGAAAAGCCAGTTTCAAGTGAGCTGGAGCACAAGTGTGGTCTAGGCCCACATTTTTAGAAATGGCCCTTGCTTTGGGAAAAGATAAAGGTGCTACCATGTGCAAAGAGTTCAAAATTCTTGAACTTCATCATGAAACCAGAAGACCACAGGCTACTGGAGCACAGAAATGAGGTGGAGAGGGACAAGGATTAGGGGTAAACATTAGGCCACGTGTCACATGGAACCTTTTAGCTGATGCCAGGATTTTGGACTTTAAGCAATGGGAGACTGCTGAGCAGATTTAGGGAGATTAAATTAATGATCCAGTACAGGCATACAGTCCCATATCTGAAGTTTTCAATTGGGAAAGCCACACTGCTTTAAAAATGTAATACCAAATTAATTTGGAATGAAATGAGGGTGGCGGTGTATCTCAGAAATCTTGTGGGTCACATGCATTTCCTTAATTTCAGTATATACCACCATACACACCTATATGTATAATATATGCATACAAGTGGTGATTGAAAGAATGGTTAATGTTTAAATTTACAGAGGCCTGGGAAACCACAGCTTTCTGGCAACCCAGTTGCTAGATGTTATTTTAAAGCTAATAATTATTAAACCAGTCTTAACAAATGTTTGCCACAGACTTGGGCTGATGTTTATAAATGAACTAGCAGAGAATGAGTAAACTGTCATGTTGTTAATTAGAATAAAATCATATCAATTTCAGTGTATGATAAAAGTTTATCAGATAAAATAGAAATAAATCTGAGGAAATATAGTGAGCACTGGCTGCCACACCCCCATCAGACATAAACCGGAGTGCTAGAAAGAGGGAAGTGAGGACTTTGCAAGAACCCAGGGAGAGATTCTCAAAGGCGATTTTGTGAAAAGAAGGGATCAGTTGACATGTAGCTTCAAAGAATGTGCATTCACCTGGAGCCAGAGATCACTGTAGCTTTCTCAGAGTGTTCCCAGAGAGATAGCGCTGACGCATTGCAAGGACTAATAAATGGTTACATAAACAGCGCTGCTTCATCTGCTATGAATCTCATTCACTGAAATCATGAAGCGTCCAACTCAATATGCTTTCACTAAGGAAAAATATGCTAGAATTTATTCTATATTCATTCCATTACTTCATTTACTATTTTGTTATTGTGCAAATTTATTAGAATACTGTTGCTTTCAATAAATATATGAGAAAATGTTCAACATCATTAGTCATT